TGCCCACCCTCCTACCTTTCTTATTCTTCAGGTACAGGACAAGGCCAGGAGCCAGAAAGACCAGCCCCAGCACAAATCCTGCCACTCCTGTCCACATCTTGTTCTTGGCTGAGTCCGACTGTGGTTCTGCAGAGAGAGAAGAGGTCTGGGGTCAGATGGAAGGGCCAGGCTTAGGATCCGCCCCTCAATCCCGTGAGTCCTCAGCCCCTCTGAGACGCTGGCCCAGATGAACTGGGAAGGGCTGGGACCTCTTGGCGAATTTCAAATCATGCCTTACCCCACTGAACAGAGATGGGCTCCGGGAAGCTGGCGTGCTCCACCTGGCAGGCGTAGACGTCTCCCCGCTCCGGCTGGGCCTCCAGCATCAGCGCGATCTGGTAGGTCCAGTCCCCATTCCGGATCAGGTCCGTGGTGAACACTTGGCTCTCGTCTTCCTCCTTCCCATTTCGGAACCAGGTGATTTTGATCTTCGAGGGGAAGAATCTGTCCACGGTGCAAATCAGCAAAGTGTTGGGAGAGTTCTCCGAGGGGGTGATCTCCACCAGGGGCTGAACTGGAAGGGAGGCAAAGAAGGCACAAGGGGAATGTGAGAAGATGGGAGAGGAGAGGAGGAAGAAAAAAGGGCTTCTCAGGTTGGAGGGAACAAGGATCCCCTCCCCTCCCTCAGCCCATATGATCTACCTGACAGTGTTACTGGGAAAGAAAAGCCACTTGCTGATGAAAGCCGGTCACTTCACATCATCCTGTTATCTTCCCCAACCCCTCCCTTCTGTAATCCCTATGAAATATTGGTTCCACCTAAAGGGGTGGGGTTAAGAAGGAGTGGGGCTGTGAGTGAGAGGTTTGAATCAGAAAGCGTGGGAGAACTGAAGAGGCCGGAGTTGCTGTTGCCTCTTGGACTGGCCTTTGCTGATTTGATCTAAGTATAAATCCTCTATATTTGTGCTGGAGGGGTGTGTCCACATGGGGAATTAATGATTTGCATGCAATTGAACTGATATTTTATTTTATGGTTTTAAAGTGTCTACATTTGGAGCTGGTTCTTCAATATGTTTGTCCCCCTAACTGTGATAAGAAGGCTGTCCTAGATTTTTATTTGAATTTGCATTCAAAAAGGACACTTGAATCATGCAATTCCATAAGCAACTTCTGGAACGGTGCTGTTGCCGAGGGCCTAGGTCCACAAAGGGGCGTGTTTGGTCATTGGTATAATTGCTCAATTTTGTCTGCCATTATAACCGTGAATAAGCAGTTTTATTCACAACTGTAGATAAGAAAATATTTATTTTGTAAAATAAGAGCTATGGCTCCAACTGACAAGGGCAAGACTGAGATGTTCTGTGAGGGGGGGGGCCCTCAGAGAGGTTGCGTGGATTAATCCCTAGACAGGATGGGTCTGCCCTCCGGTTTCAATTATGTTTCAATTAGGGATCAATTATGTAATCTCGGTGTTCATCTGGACTCAGCCCTTTATTGGGACTGCCGGATCTCAGCCTTCAGTCGGCTCAGGCATCCTCACCCTTCCCTTGAGGAGGCTTCCCTCACCACATTGGCACAAGTACTGGTCATCTCCTGGCTTGACTACTACAGTGCTCTCTACATGGGGCTCCCCTTGA